ACATTGAATAAAAAATGTTCAGTGGTTGCCAAACATTGCACTGGTAATTTTTGTGGAGAAAACTCATTTTTAGAAATTGCATAAATATTTTAAATTGAATTAAAACAGAAAAGGAAAAATAAATAAAATAAAAGAAAAAACAGAAAACAAACTAACAAAAAATATAAAAGGAGAAACCCCCTCCCACTGGGCTCAGGCCCAGCAGGCCACCAGCCCAACTGGCCCAGCCGGCCGGCCCATCCACTCCACTCCCTCTCCATAACCCCCCACTCCACCGGTCAACCCCACTGACACCCCACTCTCCCCCGTAAAATATCCCCCCCTCTTTCCCCCGATTGGATCGAGATCGAGAGGAGGAGGCCGTCGACGCCGCCCGCCTCTGAACCTCCCCACTGGATAGGTGCCGTCCCCCTCGTCCTCCTCTCTAAGCCGCTCCCCGCGCCCCATTACCCCGATCCCTCCGAACCCGCCATGAGCTCTCCCTCTCCTTCTCCTCTCTCTCGCGTGTGCACACGCTCACCGTGCCTGACCACGCGTCCTATGCATCTAGGCCCGGCGCCCTGTTGCTCGCCCGCACCCACTGCCGCTGGCTACCCGCTTGCCTCCCGCGCGCGCCGTTGCCGCACGGGTTGACCCGCCACCGCTGCCTGTCGCCCCCTGCGCCGCTTGCGCTCTCGCGCGCCTCGTCCGTGCCGCGGCCCCGCACCCTCGTCCCCGCACACGCCCATGGCCGCGCGTGGCCGCCGCTGCCCGTCCTCTGCCGCGGCTCTGCTCTGGCCAAGCCGCCGCACGCCGTCACTTGCTCCCCCCTCCTCGCGAATGCTCCCGCCAGCCCCACGCTTGGCTCGCGTCCGCCGCGCCCGTCGCCATGAGCCCCGCCTCGCTCGCTCACCGCAGCACGAACTGCCCCTGACCTCGCCCCTGCCCTCCCACGCGGCGGTCTTGCTCATCGTGGTCGCGCTCCGGCGACCACCTCGCCTCGCGTGAGGCCGCAGCGCGCCTGCTGCTGCCTCTGGCGACCCCTCCTACACCGACTTTCTTCGCCAGAAACGGCCGGCCGGCGAGCCCCGCCCTGGCCGCCGGCGCACTGTGGCGCCCGTGTTTTCCCCCGCCGCAGCCCGGTTCGCCTCTCGTTCGGGCATCCGCCCCGTTAACCGCACCGCCCTGTGCCCGCTAGGCCTCTGGGCCAATGACATGAGGGGCCCACACCCCAGACCGTTTTATAAAAAAAGAATAATGATAATAATAATAATTAAAGAATTAATTAACTTAATTAATTTTGATTAATTAAACTAAACAACTAATTAATCATGATTATTTAGTCTAGTCAATGACGAACGGGACCCACACGTCAGTTTGACCAGTCAACACCCCTGTTGACTGCTGACGTCATGCTGACATCAGCAAACACTATTCTAGATAATGTTGAATTGAAATAATTAAATAAATCCTAAAAATAATATAAATCTTTTAAAATTAATATAAAATAAATTGTAGCTCGGATGGAAAAACTCTGTACATGAAAGTTGCTTAGAACGGCGAGACGAATCCGGATACGCAACCCATTCGTCCGCCACACATCCCTAGCATAGCGAAGACACAACTTTCCCCCTCCGATTCATTTGTCCGAAAACACGAAACACCTGGGATATTTTCCCGGATGTTTCCCCCCTTCACCGGTATCACCTCATACCGCGTTAGGGCACATCTAGCACCGCTACTTGTCATGTCATGCATCGTTATGTATCTGTTTGCATTGTATTCATTGTTTCTTCCCCCTCTTCTCTCCGGTAGACTAAGAGACTAACGCCGCTGCTGGTGCCCCGGCCGACTACGTTGTTGACGACCCTACTTGCCAGAGCAACCAGTCAAGCCGCCCCCCCCCCATTGATCACCAGATATCGCCTATTCTTCTCTCTACTGCTTGCATTAGAGTAGTGTGGCATGTTACTGCTTTCCGTTAATCCTATCCTGATGCATAGCATGTCATTGTTGCTACAGTTATTGATACCTTACCTGCAATCATATTTGCTTAGTATAGGATGCTAGTTTATCATTAGTGGCCCTACATTCTTATTTGTCTGTCATGCTATATTATCGGGCCGTGATCACTTGGGAGGTGATCACGGGTATATACTTATACATAATATATGATACTTGTGGTGATTAAAGACGGGTCGGCTCGAAGAGTACCTGCGAGTGACTCACGGATTGGGTCCGAAAGGACATTTGTCCCGACGGCCCTCTGAGTGGATCTTTGTGGCGGAGCGACAGGGCAGGTTGAGGCCACCTAGGAGAGAGGTGGGCCTGGCCCTGGTCGGCGTCCGCGGTTAATTCAATCAACACACTTAACGAGATCTGGGTATTTGATTTGAGTCTGGCCACTGGCCTATACGCACTAACCAACTACGCGGGAACAGTTATGGGCACTCGACGTCGTGGTATCAGCGAAGCCTTCGTGACGTCAGCGACTGAGCGGCGCGCGCCGGATTGGACCGTAAGCCTGCTCTTGTATTAAGGGGGCTAGGTCTGCTTCCAGCCTCCCTCGCAACATGCAGGTGTGCAATGGGCGGTGGGCCCAGACCCCTGCGCCATAGAATTTAGACCGGCGTGCTGACCTCTCTGTTGTGCCTAGGTAGGGTTGCGACGTGTTGATCTTCCGAGGCCAGGCATGACCTAGGAAAGTGTGTCCAGCCAAAGAGGATTGAGCGTGTTGGGAAATGTGGTGCACCCCTGCAGGGAAGTTTATCTATTTGAATAGTAGTGTCCCTCGAGAAAAGGACGACCCGGAGTTGTACTTTGACCTTATGACAACTAGAACCGGATACTTAATAAAACAAACTCTTCCAAGTGCCAGATACAACCGGTGATCGCTCTCTCACAGGGCGACCAGGGGAGGATCACCGGGTAGGATTATGCTATGCGATGATACTTGGTGAACTTATCATCTACTCTCATCTACATGCTGCAAGATGGAGGTTGCCAGAAGCATAGTCTTCGATAGGGCTAGCTATCCCCCTCTTATTCTACCATTTTGCAGTTCAGTCCACATATATTACCCCTTTCTTTGATACATTGCATATGTAGTGTAGCTCCTTGCTTGCGAGTACTTTGGATGAGTACTCACGATTGCTTTGCTTCCCTTTTCCCCTTTCTATACCCGATTGTTGCGACCAGACGATGGAGTCCAGGAGCCAGACGACACCGTCGACGACGACTCCTACTACACTGGAGATGCCTACTACTACGTGCAGGCCGCTGACGACGATCAGGAGTAGTTTAGGAGGATCCCAGGTAGGAGGCATGCACCTCTTTCGATATGTATCCCTGTTTGTGCTAGCCTTCTTAAGTCAAACTTTTTTACCTATGTCTGTACTCAGATATTGTTGCTTCCGCTGACTCGTCTATGATCGAGCTCTTGTATTTGAGCCCTCGAGACCCCTGGCTTGTAATATGATGTTTGTATGACTTATTTTATTTATAGAGTTGTGTTGTGATATCTTCCCGTGAGTCCCTGATCTTGATCGTACACGTTTGCGTGTATGATTAGTGTATGATTGAATCGGCGGCGGCACAAGTTGGTATCAACCCGAGGCCTCGCCGGCGAGGACGACGGAGGAGGCGGAGCCCTCGCCGTCGAGGACGGGAGCTCGTGGCGGCGCTCGGCTGGGTGGGGATCTCGCTGCAGTTCCCGGTCGAGCGGCTCGTGCTGTGTCGCTGACTAGTAGGACCAAGGCGGACACGAGAGGGTAGCAGCGGACGAGAGCGGACAAGAGAAGCGCCCGCTTTTGTCCGTCGTGGACCCATTTGTGGCCCAAATTTGGGCTCAGTTTGGGTCGGGGTGGATGACAAACAGACAGCAGGCGGACATGCGCGTCCGTTTGGATCGCCCCGTTGGGCTAAGTTTTCTGTCTGGATGACCCAAATGGACTTCAATGGGTCGCCCCATTGGAGTTGCCCTAAAGGGATAGTAAAAAAGATTAGAACCAGACGTCCGATCCATAGACACAAACTTACTCCTGAAATTTTGGCTGATTGGGTTTAGATATCAGAAGTTTTTTGAGATTGACGTGATGTGTAGGCAACTATGTATTAATGGCTTGGTGCATCCGCCGTATCCAGGGGTCAGAGATTCACAAATCATTAAACCATGAATCGATCGCCATCGAAATGCCATTGAGAGTGGTGCTGCCAAGTTTGTCACTTTGTTCAGATATCCAGTGTGTAGTGTGCCAAGCCAATGTACGATATCTAGGCACAGCAATTTTTTTGCGAGAATAAGCACAGCATATTTGATGTAGTACAAGTGAAGTTTTCTCGTTCTGTGCTGGGAAAATTGATAGGAAAGCTACACCTGAAAACTTTAGCGAAGGTGTTACTAGACGCCCCGTAAATGTTCAGGATATGCTGTCATCTCGCTCTGGCATCGTTTTGGCTTTAGTTACTGCCTTGCTGAGCATGCACAGAAAACACAATAGCAAATTAGTGTCAGTTCAGAGAAGTACAGATTTTAGTACAAGATGCTTACTTGCACATGGGACGTTCTTCATCTACGAAGAAACAGAGTACTAAAGTTTCGACAAATGTATAGCGCGAACGTTCACTGCAACATGCCACGGCACGAAGCTACCCTGCACCGTCCGATAGAGTGGTGATGCAGCATGCTTGAAGGTGATGATGATGTCAGGGCTAACGTGCGGCCTGTTACGGCCGTCGCGCCGTAGTAATCTCCAATTTAGTTTTGTCAAATATTGACGGTGCGCTTGAGCTTGGCAAAAACAAGGAATGTGTGAACATGAGCTGGGCCATTAACAAGTACAAAACCAAGGGTAAATCCAAAGCACCCGTCCTTCACCAAACCAAGATCCCGACATATATAAACACAGCCATCCCATGTCAAACCCACACACGAACCTACAAGAGCCAGCCACCCACCCACTATTTACACAGCAACAGCTACCGCACTCCGCACGTACACGCAAGAACTGAAACTTGGTGCCATGGCAAGGCTCTTTGCTGTGTGCTTGGTTCTGCTCGCCTTCACCATGGCCGTGGCGGCAGATATGGCGCCGATGATGGCCCCGATGGCGGCAGATATGGCGCCGATGATGGCCCCGATGGCGGCGCCGGCGGCCGACGCGGCCGACTGCAACAGCGACCTGCAGGACCTGGTTGCCAACTGCCAGAACTACGTCATGTTCCCGGCCGAGCCGAAGATACCGCCGTCGCCGGCCTGCTGCGCCGTGATCCAGAGGGCGGACATGCCGTGCCTGTGCGCCAAGGTCACCCCGGCGATCGAGAAGGTCGTCTGCATGGACAAGGTCGTGTTCGTCGCCAAATACTGCAAGAGGCCCTTGCAGCCTGGCTCCAACTGCGGAAGTAAGTGTTAGACCATATGCTGGTTATGATCATTTTTCAAATTTTCCAAATATATGTTGGATCAACTAAAATTTTCTGAAAGTTGGACAAAGGAAATGCCAATATATGTTTTATTATGGTTACTTTTTTCTGTTGTTTTGCAGGCTACCCCGTTCCTGGTGCGTTCGTGTAGTGCAGCATATCTTCTGATTGGATGATCACGAAGTCTGCAGATGCTATTTTCAGTTTTCACCATTATTGTACTGGTGCTTGTGACTTGCATATTTGCTGAGAGATAAGTTGCTGGATTATCACCTAGATAAATCCAGATACTTTATGATAAGTATAAATAAAGTTGACGGCAAATGTATGATTGCCAGTTAAAAAAAGCAGTTGGCTATGTACGTGTACTTGCGTTTCTTTAAAGGGCAGCTTATTTTGTGGGCGTTTGTTTTTTCGAAGAGGATCAAATCTATTATAAAGACTCATGAGAAGTACAAAATACCGGAAATATAATGAAAATTACATCGAAGTCCATGGACCGCAGAACGACCATTGCGCCGCCAAAACGAGTCACCGATGCGCCGATGTCGTCGCTCCCATACCGAAGCCGGCCTGACCTTGTCGATGACAGCTGGGAAGTCTGAGTGCATGTACCCCTAAAGACCAGCGCCCCGAAGCCACAGTCGTCGCTCTTGAATCCTTGAATAGACCTGAAGAATCTGATACCAAATATTGCCGTTGCGTACACACGACAAGAAACGAATCTCACTACCCCGAGGAGTCAAAAATACAAATATGTACTCCACTGTAGAAGTAAATGTTGGACTCTAGTAAGTGCCACACATAAGATACGAGCACATGCCAACTTAGAACATTTTTTATGGTAAGTTTAGTTATGCGAGGATGGCAATTTTAGTTGGCAAGCATGGCATCTTTGTGCTTCAGTTTATTTTTCGATGGAAACTTGTCGTGTGTCACTGGAATTTGTCATCTTTGCGTGACTGGAATTGCCATCGAATAATGTCAGTTGCCGGAGTGCCACGCACCTGACGTGTGTCACTTATCATTTAGGTAAATATTTGTTGAAATGGATTGATGCTTCAATACACATCATAATAAATGGTCTCATAATTATCTCACAAATATATACTAAACATATAATCAGTGAAATATATGCTGCAAATGCCTTGGTCTGCATTCATAGTTTGCATCAATATGATACATCATACATGTATCCAACCTGGTTGTGCATGGATGTATTCATTAAATAGCTGCCTTTGTTGAGATGGGTCAGTACAACAAACATAAGTGCTCACAATTGACTATAAGACAAACAGAATGGACGATTGAAATTTCTTAGAAAACATTATATTTTGGAACATATATGCAACGCAACAAAGAAACAGAAGTGTAGACACGTGTCTACATAGGAACTAAGTGTTGACACTTGTCAATGTAACAAACGCATGTGCGTACATCTGTCTACATGAGAAACAAAAGTCGTGACACTTGTCAATCAGCACCACCTACGCCTTGATTGAAATAATTATTTTCCCTCGGGTGAATTCATTCCCATCCATGCGCCTATATAAACCCAAGCATCCAACAGAGGACAACCACACCAAAACAACACAACTCTAGATTTAACATCTAAGAGAGAGGTAGCCAACCGATTACTACTGGTAGTAGTTATGGCAAAACACTTTAGTTTGCTCTTGGTTCTTGCCTTTGTTCTTGTTGTGACGGCTGAAGATTGTACCGTCGACCTAAAAGGGCTAATCCGAGAGTGCAAACCATATGTGGTGTTTCCCGCGAGCCCAAAGATAACTCCGTCGAGTGCATGTTGTAGTGCGGTTCAGAAGGTCAATGCACCGTGCATGTGCTCCAAGGTCACCAAGGAGATCGAGAAGGTGGTATGCATGGATAAGGTTGTGTATGTCGCTGATTACTGCAAGAATCCACTCAAACCTGGCTCCGATTGTGGCAGTAAGTGTTATATTTTGAGCCATGTATTACGTACCCCTAATACTTGTCATGAACTATGCATGACATGCTTTTGTTTTGTAATATTTTCGCAGGTTACCATGTCCCATCTCAAGGACGATAGATGGATGTTTCGTATCTGGTAATCAAAGGAGAAATGTTTATTTAGTTCCTAGGCCTCTATGTTGACTGGATTCCTCTTTTATGATATGTGATAGGTTAAGTTTATGTTGAGTAATTCCTAGGGAATGTGGCCGGTTGTGGGGTGGAAGATCCATCAATGTATGAGTATTAATAAATATTTCTCCTCAAATTACATGCTTCCTCTATTTTGTTTTTGTTTGGTCCTTTTCTGGTTTTGATTCCTTTGAGTGTGAATGGGGATTGAAAACAAGAAAAAGAAATCTTTGACAAAAGCTTTTTTCTCTCACTATACGATGATAAGTCCTTTGTGATATTGTACGGTAAGTATATGCTTGCAAATGTTAAAATTCAGAGGTGGAACTTGGACATGTGAAAAATAAACATAGAAGTAAATATTGGCTAAATTGGTTGGTGCTTCTATACACATCATAACAAATGGACTAATATACACTCTAAATATCTCACAAATATATACTAAACGTATAATTAATGATATATATGCTACAAATGCCTCGATCTTTATTAATAGTGTGCATTAATATGATACATGTATCCAGCCTGGATGTGTCTGGATGAATAAATGTGTTCAATAAATAGCTACATTTATTGAGATCGATCAGTACAAAAAAAGTGCTCATAGGTTACTACAAGACAAACCCAATGGACCACTGGTATGGTTGTGAATTGGTGTTGGCGCTACGTGGTGCAACCATTGGTAGGAGCGCTCCATTGCTAGTGTTGATGAAGTGGTGCTGGCACCCCGTGGTATGACCATAGGTATGAGCGGGAGCACTCGGACCACGCGTCATATTACACTTTGGTTGCTCTGTTGAATTTTTGCCCAAAAAGGAAGTAGCTCCAAATGACTTCATTTGATAGGTTGTACATTGGTTTTCTTCCATATGTTCATTCCTGCATATCAGTAGTAACAACAAGTTTTCTTCTTTCACGAAGGATTAGTGTTAGAAAGACGCGAGAAATATCTAAAGCCCTGTGAAAAACATGTCAAAGCCCTCTTATAAAAGTAACAAAATATCGAGCCATTAGTACCCGGTGTTATCCTTTCTGTCCTACGTGTCTGTTTGTGTCTGGGTTTTAATTTCAGTTGGTTATCTGACGTGTTTGCAGCACGCCAGGAGTGGTTGAGGAGCGAAGACCTACGTTCACTTCTGGTATACGAAGAGGTCCTGTGGCAGGCGGGGGTGGTTGATGAATACCTTTGGTGAATAGATAATGGATAGCAGAAAGGTTCCCAACCTCTTTCCCCAAGGAGTGACCCTGAGTTATCGAACCCATGAGAGGAGGCACAGTTGTGACAATGGTTTCTACCAAGCTTTTGTGGGAGAATTAAATTTCAGTTTTTATACCAGATCGTAATCAAGTTGGAACGAAGAACACTTGTAATAAAATTAGTCATGGGTATGATGGCTTGATTCTTATAACCATATTTTTGTGATCGGGATCAATATGATCTTAATGTGTGCTCTGGAAGACAGTTGTTAAGATGTGCTTGCAACATATCTAAGTGGGGATGTGTCCAAGTTATATGTTGATCAGAATGCGCCCTGCAACAAGAGTCAGTTTTCCAACTGTAGACCTTTCCTTGGCATGGGGCTACCTTGATTATTGATAAAGCAGACAAAAGCATGGGCGTTTAATGACTACACCTCATGTATCCCCAGAGATCCGATCCATGCTACCATACTAAACCATTCTATCACTGGTGTTCAGAATAGCACTTCACGTTCGCCTTGCCTTTAGCCTCCTCGCAGCTCGAACTCCATGATCCTGGGTACCTGCAGGGACAAAGAACGCAAGAGAGACAAGGGACAACTACGATGTAATTTTATTTCACACATACATGATGTTAGTTCAAATTCATTCCATCGACCCCTCAAACAAATACATCAGGTTGCAAGGCTATGCCTCAACCCATGACCTTATCAAATTACTCACACACAGTGATCGGATTGCGAGAAGAAATCAATGAAGAACACATCAAGATGAATGCTTTATTGATAATATGTCTTACAATGGTTGTCGGATGCGATACAAGATTACAAGTATGACTAACTTGGAGGTGGTTTGCTGCGATGATGGTCATGGTGATTGCTACCTCTTGAGCACTGCGTTGGTTTTCCCCGAAGAGGAAGGGATGATGCAGCAAAGTAGCGTAAGTATTTCCCTCAGTTTTGAGAACCAAGGTATCAATCCAGTAGGAGGCTAAGCGCGAGTCCCTCGTACCTGCACAAAACAAATAAATCCTCGCAACCAACACGATAAGGGGTTGTCAATCCCTACACGACCACTTACGAGAGTGAGATCTGATAGATATGATAAGATAATATTTTTGGTATTTTTATGATAAAGATGCAAAGTAAAATAAAAGCAAAGTAAAAAAGCAAAGGAAATAACTAAGTATTGGAAGATTAATATGATGAAGATAGACCCGGGAGCCATAGGTTTCACTAGTGGCTTCTCTCAAGAGCATAGGTATTTTACGGTGGGTGAACGAATTACTGTTGAGCAATTGACAGAATTAAGCATAGTTATGAGAATATCTAGGTATGATCATGTATATAGGTATCACGTCCGAGACAAGTAGACCGACTCCTGCCTGCATCTACTACTATTACTCCACTCATCGACCGCTATCCAACATGCATCTAGAGTATTAAGTTCATGAAAACAGAGTAACGACTTAAGCAAGATGACATGATGTAGAGGGATAAACTCATGCAATATGATGAAAACCCCATCTTGTTATCCTCGATGGCAACAATACAATACGTGCCTTGCTGCCCCAACTGTCACTGGGAAAGGACACCGCAAGATTGAACCCAAAGCTAAGCACTTCTCCCATTGCAAGAAAGATCAATCTAGTAGGCCAAACCAAACTGATAATTCAAAGAGACTTGCAAAGATAACCAATCATACATAAAATAATTCAGAGAAGATCCAAATATTGTTCATAGATAGACTCGATCATAAACCCACAATTCATCGGTCTCAACAAACACACAGCAAAAAGAATATTACATCGAATAGATCTCCACAAGAGAA